TCCTGCTGATGATAAACCCAACTTTCTGCATAAGCACACAAAAAACAGTGCTGTGTGATTGCCTAATCTCGTTCAGGAGTGCACACGCACACATTCTGCAGACTGGTTTGAGGAAAAAATATTTAAAAATTGGAATCTAACATAATTACACGTTCCTTTACAGAGCAAGCTTAAGTCTTCAAAACTTGATCATGGCTACATGCAAGTAGAGATATTAGTGATGGTGTTCAGTGGCTGGGTTTCAGTGATGGCTAGACAGATCATTTTCCAGAGTGCTGGCTGCTTAAGCTTTTTTTAAATAGAAAAGATTAATAATGAAACTGGTCCAAAGTGTGCCCGTGTAAAGGTGATTGGAAGCTCCTGTTGTTTGTCCTAGGAGGCACGGGTAAGTACATGGTGTTCTTTTGTATTGTAGTGACACCTAATGGCCCTTAATTGACTTGCGCAATTAACAGTTTAAACTGTCCCGTTTCATTGTGAAGCAATACATTCATTCACACCGATTCATTACAGAAATCTGAAAATCTGTTACATTCCCTTTAACTTGCCTCTCATCTAAAGCAAGCAACATTCAGAACTGAGATGATTTTGCCTAGCTTAGAAATGCTTAGTTCTCAAGGTGAGCTTTTATATTTTATTTCTGGCCTAATTACCTACCATTTTTAATGGGGCAAGGTTGTACTGCTTACATATATATTTTAGCCAGACGTATACAAGTGCTTGAGGTGCATGTGCTTTTAATATATTAACTTATCCTTTTGGTTTTTGGAAAGACATCCCTCCCAACCCTGTTAGGATGATTCTAGCAGGATACTAGATTAATCTCCCTCTGTTGGTCACATGCAGTCACAGCCGATGACAGTTTTGATGAAAGCTGCACCATGAATTATTGTGTGAAACTTTTATGGATAAATGCAATTTTAGAGCTATTTAAAAGAACTTTGAGGGGTAACTATTTTTGCCAAATTTTTAAATTCAACTAAATTTAGAGCAGGATCAGGTCCTCTGGTTCATATAGACCCTGATCTCCAAAATAGAAGTGTTGTAATATTACACACCACACTGAATGGGAGAGGGTCAATTTTTCAAAGGAACTTGATCACTCTGGGTATGGATACATTTCTTTTCTTTTACTGTCTACCCCACAGTGCGAGATGCTTATCGATTTTAAAATGTAGCCAACTGCTCTCTCTCTGCATCAAAAATAATTGATGATGTTACTGTCCCATCTTTCTAGACTATTTTAGGTAGTTGTCTAGCTTTTAGCAGTGTAGTTTCAGACCCTATGCCTAGTTTGCAGTAAATTCCCTTAATAGAGCAGTATAAGTAACAAAACCAGTTGACAGGAGCAACTGGAAAGACAGTTGGGACTAGTTGTCAGATTTCTAGCCCCCTCCCCCACAAATAAAAGTAAAAATAGAAACCCAAAATTTGGAGTTCTGCTGTCAGAGTTCCTTATGAGAACTGGTATTAGACCATTTGGAAGAATTCTGTAAACCAGAATTGCTTCCCAGGTCTTTGAAGTGGGTAGCAAGGGGTACTAATAATAGGCATATCTACACACGCTGGAAGAATCTGCATTTATATCCCTCCAAAATGTATTTTATTGTAGAATATAATTGCGTATTGCTATAGTATGTAAATGAGGCTGCAGCAAATTCTGCTGAAGTAAAATTTCTTCCTTCTGTTCCCTGCCTGGTTTCAACTCCAAGGTGAGTTCTGCTGTTTTGTCTCTGGTAATCCATGCTCTGTGACTTAGGGCAGTTTCCCTT